TATGAAACATACATATACAACCAACCCCCTAATCAAACCCCCTACCTGTCTCACTGAACTGCACATCCTTGCCTATTAACTGCTCCAGATAGTACATAAGCTACGTATATGAAACATTACATATACAACCAACCCCCTAATCAAACCTCCTACCTGTCACACTGAACTGCGCATCCCTGCCTACTAACTGCTCCAGATAGTACAGATGCGCCCCGCCATTCTTCTCGTTGATGTAGGCACCGTGCATGAGATGCTTGTTACGGAAGCCGGAGACAGACTCCGCGTCGAATTGATGCTGGTAGCACGCCAACAAGTACTTCTCACGAATGTCCTCCGCGCCTATCATTGGGTAACCAGCGGTTCGAAAGAGTGGATTGTGAGCTGCCACTGAATGACTGAATAGCACTGACATGAAAGAATAGTTCCGTATTGGGCGAACGTTGTGGGTTCATTACTATATATTGTACGAGCTCCCACTTGGCCTATTGAGTATAGAACACGTGGTAACATTCACAACAATCAACATGACATGCGCCATCACGAAACCCCATGTTTCATAGGCTGAGAGCCCACTTTAGGTGTGTTGCACTCACACATACCATTCATTACCTCTGAGACTAATGTGAGAAACACATGACATGCGCCATCACGACACCCCATCTTGTATAGGCAGAGAGACCACTTTAGGCGTGTTGCACTCACACATACCATTCATTACCTCTGAGACGAATGCAAGACACAAGGGTGCGCAACGCCAATGTCACATAGATGCGCGTGTATCAACCGGCACGGGTGCCGTGTTTTTGCTACATACCAGATAACATCATGTCGATCACAGTGTGCTCAACTTCAGTCTTCCCATACAGGTTGTGCTTACGAGCTAGATGACGCAAGATAGCATCCACCTGCGCAACTACCAGCTCACCATCAGTATAAAGGGGAGCTTGTCCAAACTGCATGTGACAGCAAAGGTAGTATGGGAAGGTTAACTTTGAATGTTACAAATGACGGTTACAATGGAATAGTGTGTGCTACAATCAAACATTATGCAAAGATAAAGAGTTTAAAAAAATGAGGCACAAGGGCAGTTAATACTTTCTAAAGTAAAGCAAAAAATGAAATTTGAACTTGGACCTCATTGGTGTACTTAATATACATATTAATATATAAAAATATATACATATATATTATATATATATATATCTAATATATAATATATAATAATATATATAATAATATAATAATATAAAAATATAAGAATATAATATACATAAACATATATATATTTATATCTATCTATA